CAATCATGTGCTAGTGTTATAGTTTTTGAAGGTGAAAGTTCAAGAGTAAGAGATAATCATCTATTGGGTAATTTTCAACTATATGGTATTTCCCCAGCTCCAAGTGGTGTACCAAATATTGCAGTTACATTTGAGATTGATGTTAATGGTATATTAAATGTCTCAGCTGTTGAACAATCAACTGGTCATGAAAATAAAATAACAATAATAAATGATAATGGGAATTTATCTAAAGATGAAATTCAACGTATGATTGCTGATGCTGAACAGTATAAAAAAGAAGACGAAATACAACGTGATCGTCTTGAAGCTATGAATTCACTTGAATCATATTGTTTTAATATAAGAGCAAAAATTAATGATGAAAAATTAGCAGATAAATTTCATATTTATGACACGAAAAAAATGATCGATACTATCGAAGACACATTGATATGGTTAGAAACAAATCAGGTGTGAAAATTTTATTTCTATGCTCTATTGTATTTTATGAGCATTTTAGTTTGCTGAAAAAGAAGAATTTGTACAAAAATTAAGAGAACTTGAAGCAATATATTCATCAGTAACGATCAAAATTCACACTGCTGAAGATGGTGCTGTAAAAGTTCCAGAAGAGTTTTCTAATGATTCAACAGGTGAGTAATTAATTTTCAAGTTCGTCTTAATCATAGGCAATTTTATTATCTTAAAGAATAAGGGAAATTGCATAGATTTTTTTTTACAGCGTTTTCTATTTCTTAAGCAGAAATATGTCAGGTGTGGCTGCTGTACGCGTAGGCGTGGGAAATACTCTTTTTTAGTCATAGCTATCCTAGACTAGAAGTCGTTGTTTCTTAATACGGCTATTTGATCAACAATAAAAAAAAGTTTATCTTTCTTCGATTCTCTATTAAAAGACGCTCGTGTTAGGAGAAGCCCGACCTTATATTTGGTATCAGATGCATTGCAGTTTAGCAGAGCACAATTGTTGCTTGATTTTTTTTCTAAATAATTTCAGAGAACCAGAAAACATGAATATGTAGTAACAAAGGCCGAAAATCAATCTCATCTTTAGCAAGAGAATTTTTAGAATCGACTACAAACTGGTTCCTGACAATTCATTTTCATGATTCAGTGTTTTTAGAGAATACTTTACTATTAAAAGTGTATATAAGTATAACCTATTTTCAAAGAATCGTAAAAAAATATATATATAGCATATGGAAAACAATTTTATGAATTTCTATTTTAGAAGCCAGAAGTTTTCCTTCTGTTACGCTGGAATTAAATCGTGGTGATGAATTATCTAATCTGAATTCACGTTTACTGGATATTCGTAATGAACACCACCGTGAGCTATTCGGCTTGTCCGCGTAACGCGACACTTCGCTGATCAAGTTTTGAAAAAATTTTTTTTCGAGTTGGACAGATCTCATTGGACTATTAGATGCAGTTTTTTACGCTGATTACGAATTTGATATTGATTTAGCGTAAAAATCAGATTTTGATATCAAAAATCGGATTTTAAAGTTTTCAAAAACCGTATTTTGGATTTTTTAACCAAGAAATTTTTTCAACAAGGGCTAAGAGACATACCATTCGATGCAGAATTAAATTCTCTACAAAATGGTCTATTTAGTTTTGACTCTGGTAGCTTAGAATGGATTGAAAGCTTCGATAAAGTTTCCAACTTCCTGCCCAGTTTATAAGCTCTCAGATCGATGTATCAATCTCATTTTTGCAGAGGAGATTGTCTACTTATAAAACAGCAACAATTATAAAAATCAAGTAATTCCGAGTACACTAAGTGCCTCAAAATTGGTCAACAAAAAACTGTGTAACAGCGTTACGAAAAATGTAACAGCGTTACGTTTGTTTTTTGCATTTTTTATTTGAACAAAAATGTTTTAGAGAAAATCTTTTTTACTGCCTGAAAGTCTATTCAATGCTCTACAAAAGTGATTCTTGGAGCATTACATTTGAAGGAATGATTTCGCAAGAAATTAGAGTTTTCTCAGTGGCACTGGAAAAAAAGGGTCCTTTTATGTAACAGCGTTACGCCATGATAAAACATTTCTAGATGCCTGAGACTTCAATCAAAAAAGGTCATTTTTATATGATAAATGAAGTTCGATAAGCTGCGTCGAATGACGTTTGAACGAACTTCATAGCTCTTAAACTTTTCGAAAAAGTTGGAGAAGAGTATATCAAAAACGTAACAGCGTTACGTTTGGACAAGCCGTATTACCGTAAGGTTCAATTGATCATCTATCAAAATTACTATTTCTTCCAGTTTATCTCTAGAATCAAAGGTTATAAAGATAAGCCTCTCTTGTCATTAGACGATGCAGTCAAACACTTGCAAGAAATCATTCCCAATATTGGACGAAATGCATTGATTGCGAAAGAGAGATCCACTGCTGAGACTGGTAGACTTACTCAAGATGAATCAGCTGCTATTCAGCTGTACACGATGAAATGGAAACCAAATGATCAATCATTGTCTATTCATATCAATGCTGCTCTACGAGAAGAAAATCGAGATCAACTCATTCCTTATTCGTGCTATTTAAAACTTGTTCTAACCGCTCTGCGACAACTGCCATCAGTCAAAAGGACTGTATGGTGTGGTGTTAAAGCTGACTTGAGTGCTCAATATCTGATTGGCAAAGAATTCGTCTGGTGGGGATTCAGGTCAGTTCTACATGTCTTTTTATTTTATTGATTTCATGTTCTCTTTTTTAATAGTTCGTGTATTGAATCACTCCAACTTCTTGAACATGACAAGTTTTTGGGCAAGACAGGAGTAAGAACATTGTTTAGTATCGAATGTGAAACCGGGAAATCTATTCGTGCTCATTCGTCTTACAAAGGAGAGGATGAAATTCTTTTTTTACCGGCTACGCGAATGAAAGTAATCAGCCGTGCTGACTTTGGCAATGGCCTAGTTATCATTCATTTGCGAGAGATTTAACCGCAATTTCCTCTTCAACCACCGTTTACTTAACTCTATTTCATCTATCATTCTGTTACATATCTCAGAATAATTTCTTATTGAAAAAAGTAATACATGACTGTATCTTTGATGCATTGATTCTTTCGAATGAGAAAGTTGTCACAATAAAACCATGCACTAACTAACAACTCGTCTCATGATGCAAGCAACCTGATAAAACTATCGTAGCAAGTGATTTTAATAATGTCCAGTCAATGTAGAAGTCGTGAGACAGAGAAAGATGTACTTGTTTGCGAGAGAATGGGCCCTCGGCGACGCGTGTTTCTGCTCTACCAAACATTGTTCGATGAATGAATGATCGTACTGTCTTCAAATGAAAAACTTGGGTGTGGGTGTCATTTTCCTCTTTAATCACACCCACACCCACACCCTCACGCTGAGGATGCACCTGTGAAGGCGAGTAAGTGGTACTACTCTTACCATCAAACCCACAAAAGCAAAGATATGCCTACATTTCATAATATCATCAAATCATCCAAAGTCGTCAAACAAACATGATTCAGTGTGCTTCTTATAATACAAACAGGGGTGCAGGTGTGGGTGTGGTGTGCTTGTAATTAAAGAGATCCCAGTCACATGCGCACTGGCAGGCACACCCACACCCTTGAGCATTAATGTGAGAGTTCGAAGTTGATAGTCTAAGAGTATATGCCCTTAATCATCATACTTACTCAGTCAACTTTTCTATTATATTCATTCACACTCAAGCGCATACTTTCACTTAACCGAGTAAGGCAGTTGTGAATCACGACACGCGCTGATTTCATTCAATTTGATTTATGCCAGAATTGAGAGAATTTTATGAGATACAGTTTATCTCAGTTGATAAAAGTATGAGCTCACGATGACATCACGCTCTTGCGTTCAACACTCTTTTGATTTCTTTAATATTTCTAAATAACTATAAAGTCTGGGTCAAAAAGTTATCACTGAAGCGTTTTATTGATAGTTATAGAATGAAACTTTAGTTATGACATTGTTGTCATTTGTGACATATACGACATGAATTGGATTGTATATTCGATCTTGCTGTTCATTTTTTGCATTGTATGGAGATAAATCTATGATAGAAATGAAAGAAAGAAGAGAAAAGATAGATTTTGTGATAATTCGATTTAAATTTAATAACTAAACTTACTACTATCAAATTCTAAAATTTTTTGATATGCTGCTTAGAATGCCGATCCATCTAATTCAGACCCGTTGTTTATGTTCGGACATTATTTGATAAATATTTCAAATACAAATCGACCAATATCAAATTAATAATTCTTTTTTTTATATCTTAAAATGTCGTCAACATTTATATGAGAAGAAAACAAATAGTAGTTTACTATTTTCATCGTCTTATCAACAGAAAATGTCTATGCTATACGAAGTTAAAAATAAAGAGCACTTTAAACCGACATAAGACAGACTCAACCATATTTTTGGTTTCAATTTTTGAAATGTAAAGTCAAAAACGTACATTTCTATGTACTATAAGTAGTCAAGACACTCACATCTGCTTCATCGAAATGTTCGCTGTAAATCAATGATCATGTTATCGTCTGAAACCATCATAAGCATTTATGATCGAACTATTTTCTCCATATATCTTTTAACAAAAATGAATACAGAAATATTGCACCTTGGCAGTTATTGATCGATTGATTAAAGTATGTTGTATGCAATAATCTATTTGTACTGAAGTTGAAGTTACCATTAGTTTGGATGGAGCTAATCTAATGTGTTGGGATACAAGAGTTCACAATTAACTTGATAGTCGAAAAACTAAGGCTTTTCGTTTTTTCTCATGTCATAAAGAAATACAAGAGCTTATATTCAACTCTAGTAGTACAGACTCTGTTTTTTTAATCTTAAGTGCATTGTGATTGTTGTCTTCTTTCTAATATAAGTACAACATCGAATCTAGTTAAGGATGAGGCAGTGTGATACCCACACTCATAGACTCAAGTAAAAAGAACTTTTTCAAATATGAAAATGCTCACTTTTTTCAGCACGAATAGTTGTCTCCACTTGAACTACAATGATGAAGTAATTGAATTGTTTTGATGCAAATGTGGCTCTTCGGCAAATTAAAGGACGGAGGACGTTTTACGTGCATTTCGGCCCCCCAAGAAAATGAAGACAGATT